ATATAAATGAGATAATAAGTTGATAGGTCTGTAGTTGCCAATTTCTGTTACATCTCCTTTTTTATGCAATATTATCATAATGGCATTATTCCATTTTTCTGGCGTATTTCCTTCAAAGAGGCAGGCATTATAAAGGGTTTTTAAAGCCTTTATGACGCATTCGCCTACTAGTTTTATCATTTCACTTACAATGCCATCTTCTCCAGGTGTTTTGTTGTTCTTCATACCTTTTAATGCTGACTTAATTTCCTCTTCGGTTATATCTGGAAGTTCCTCTGACCCTTGATTTAGTATTGCTGGAATTTCTACTTCGGGAATGTGATCATCTCGACTATATAATGTTCTATAGTACTCTTCGATGAATTTTAGTATCTCTTGTTGTTCATGTATGACATGTCCTTGATTATTTTTTAACTAAATAATAAATATTCCTCGTTCCTATTTTCAACTTTCGTTTTAGAACTTTTAGGCTTTTGTTTTGTTCTACGGTATCAGTTATTTCCTTAGTGTTAAAGTTCCTTATGTCTTTCCTAATGGCTTTTGAAATGGTTTTGTTTAAATTCCTTAGCTCTGCAATGTTCGTTGTATGCTTTTCTTTCATTTCCCTTCTTTTTTGCATTAGGTTTCTTGTGTCTTCTGTGAGTTTTTCATTTTTTGTTGAGTGCTTGGCTTGGCACTTCTTCTGTGACTTCTTCAGGGCTTCTACCAATTTTTCGTTAAGCTGTTCAATACTGGTTTCATCTTGCAGGTCTTTCTGTAGATTACTCTCTATTTCTTCCTGGTATGCCCTGGTGTTAGTAATCGCAGTGAATGTAACCTTATTAGTCCTTGTTACCATATGTCTTCTTTCCTTCTGTATGTTTAAGACTATCTTCGCCCTAACCATTCTATGGTCACTTCCAGTTGAAAATTGATTTAATACAGTTACGTCTTGAACAGCGTCTTTTTATAACAAATATGCGGCATTTGAAATATGAATAAAAAACGCAGAATTTAATGTTTTACATTACAAACGATCACACGTCACGGAAAATGCATTTAAGAAGACTGTTTTGAGTGTAGATTATTGCAGTAGTTTTGTTCTTTTAAAAAACGTACTAATATAATTTAAAAAAAAAGAGTTTTAAATGTTTTAGATTGTTTGTTGTGTGAAAGTGTAAATCCAACGTTTTTCAAGCATATTTCACATGCTTCGTTCATTTATTTAACACCTGTATAAAATCTGAGTTCAGTTCCGGCTAAATACAAAAACTGCAAACGAAAGCTGAACTCTTTACCTTTAAAACGCATCTTGATTTTTGTCGATAGGTCACTTGAATCAAACGATACCGAATTTTTACCGACGAACTGATACAAATTTTATTTTAACACTGATTTCGTGCGCGTAACTGATATGCAAAATCGACGGTCGCTTCAAGGGTTGTTTCTAAGACAACGGTTCATTCTACACAAAAAATGCTTATAAACATTATTGTTTAAAATTATCTCAGCAACATTTTTTTCTACGGTGTACAGATTCTGTGTAAATCGATTTTTTTGCGTTTTTCAAAATTATCAGTGACATTTTCGTCTCTGATGACTGGAATACACGCAGAGACAATTACCAAATTAGGCATTTCCAGGATATTAGAAAAATGTAATCAATTTGGAAATATTACAAACAAAACTATCGTTACTGGGCACGCCCACACAAAATTCTCTTAAAATGTTAATATATGGACAGGTATTATTGGCATAAAAATTATCGGCCCATTTTTTTAGACGGAAATGTTACTGGTGCAAAATATTTAGACTTGTTGATACAGCAGATAGTACTAGTATTAAGATAAAAACCCGAATATGCGACATATGATGCGACCGTTCGTAATTATTTAAACCAAATATTTTTTAATCAATCTATTGGGAGTAGGGGCTTCATAGAATGGTTAGAGGCTTTATAGAATGGCTAATAAGAGACAAAATATCTTGCCCAACTCAATTCAATTATCAACACTCTTGTTCCCATATAATAGTAAACTCACTTCTTTGTATATTTAATTTATCTTATGTTCATTTTTGTTGTTTAAATGTAAAAAATAGTTTTACATTGTTGTAGAAAAATGCATAGACAATAACATTAGTTGGTAAAAAGGGCCAAATTTGCATATCTTCCATTCACTAGTAAGTTGTCAGAAGTACTAATAATGAAATATATATATATATATATTATATATATATATATATATATATATATATATATATATATATATAATGAACTTAAAAATAAAGATGAATAAATGGATACTTTAAAAAATGTGGTGTGTATAGCGCATACCATAAGAACTAAAATGCCAAGTGGTAGGTACCTAATAAATGTTCAGTGGCTAGCAATATGGGAAGCAATAAAGATTAATAGTGAAGAAGTAGGAATTAAATGAACTCATAGAAAAAAATATATATTCTTTCTATAACAAAGAAGATTCCAAAAGATTAAAAAATTTTATCCTTCATCTTTATCCTTCATTTTCGGATTCAAAATTTTGGATTTAATAAATTTGGATACATCGATTTTTATTTAAATTGTTTTATGTTTTTCATTCTAAAAATGACAAATGAGAGTACTATCTTCTTCGGGCGCCTTCATATGAGGTGTATGAAATAGTTTATCGAAGTCTTCCTGGTCTTCCCCTTGTTTTGCGGTTGGTAGGCATCTACCAACCCTTTATTGTATTATCTCCACAGTGGTCTAGTTTTCTGAATCTATAAATCTAAATATTTTCTTCTATTATAACAAAATATCTCTTTATCTATATCTGAGTTTCCATGATTACAGGAAAGTTTTAGTCATGGACGTATAAACATAGATGGACACAGCAATAAGGTACCTTTAAAAAACAAAGTTTTGAAGCTTCGATAGAATGTGATGTTTCCGCAATGAGCATAAGCGTGCTTGAATTTTTACTCGCGGGTAATTATTCAGATTTTAAAAATTGGAAGTAGTAATAATGTATAAAAAACACGTTCAAAGAAATAAAAAACGAGAGTTTAACTATTAACAAATCACGTCTTTATAGAAAAATTAAAATTTAATTTTATTTGCTTTAAATTTAATACAATTAAATATAGTTGAATTTAAGTTAATTTTTTAATAGGTATCAAAATAATGCTACAATAAAAAATCTTTATGTTTTCTCCTAAATTTGCTACCGAAATAGTTCGATCGTCAATATTATTTGGAAACCTACATAGAAAAATAAATGAGTTTTATTCATTTCACTAATTTATTTGTATCCATGAGAAATATTAATTCAAAAGGTACTAAACAGATCTTTTTTAATCTGAATACATTAATGAACATGAATAAAACCAATGGTACGCCTATTAAAATATAAACAAACATGCCTCCTCATTTCCTCATCTTAAATAATGTAAATTGTATGTACTTACAAATGAAATGAGAGATCGGGATGTAAATATTTCGTTTATTTTATTTCACTTTTAACAAATATCACTCAAAATACAGCCAAAATATCGAAAAACAACTTTTCCTCATCTACTGTAAAAAGTAAACAAACATGGAACAGCATTTGAAGTTTGATGTAGATCCATAAGACAGAGAAATGTAAACACTTATTGCCATTTATAAATAGTTTTCAGTGCTTCTACATATAAAATAATTGATTGATATCTATTATACGCTATTATTAAATGATAATGCACACTATGTGCATACCTAATATTTTGATTACCATTAAATATATTAATCTAACCAATAAATTATTATTTTGGTTTGATAGCACCTGTAGAGTATAAAATACGGAGTAATATTTTCAGCGACTCGCGAATAAGAAATTTTAAAACAAAACGTGACAACAGTTGAAGGTGCAGGGAACTACACAATTTTATGTAAATAACTGAGTACATTTGTGTTTATACGTCCATGGTTTTAGTAAAGAAAAGCTTTGGTAATCAAACCTTTAGATTTTCGTTATTAATGCTTCTGACTATAGCATAGATATAAATGATATCCTTTGACAATATAACTAAATAATAAATGTTCAATAGATACCCACATACTATATGACCAGTTTCTCGCATATCTAGTTTATTTTTGTAGTAATAAAATGTTTAACTGTAAATACTGTTAATAAAGGTATTCATGCATATAAAAGTTTTTTTTGTTTTTAGTAACATAACTTAAATTTTATTCCAAAGCCGACACTTCAATACCACAATAACATGTATCATTAGACATTTCTAACGCAGAGTTAAAAACACAAACGAAAAGGCTAGGCCTGGAAATTAACACAGAAAAAACAAAAATAATGGTACAGACGAGAAGAAATATAATCCCACAAAACATTATACATGAAGATGACATTGAAACGGTTGGAAAGTTTACATACCTGGGAGTAGAAATATATGCCGATGGAGCAGAGGATGGAGAAATACGAAAAAGGATAACGAAGGCAAACAAAGCTTATTTTGCCCTCTCCCATATATTTCGGTCTAAAAGTGTCCACCGAAATACAAAGATGAGAATCTATAAAACTTTAATTCGGCCAATAGCATGTTATGGCAGCGAAGCATGGGTCCTGAAAGAAACATCCAAAAACAAACTCGACACATTCGAAAGAAAAGTACTGAGGAGAATACTAGGACCTGTGAGGGAAAACGGAATCTTCAGAATTCGATATAACAACGAGCTCTATCAACTGTATAAGGAAACACCCCTGTCAGACTTCATTAGAATACAAAGATTGCAATGGGCCGGACATGTGATACGAATGGGAGAGGATAGGCTACCAAAACGAGCACTGAACGCCAGAATGCAGGGAAAGAGACCAGTTGGAAAGCCAAGAAAGCGCTGGGAAGACACAGTAAGCAGCGACGCACAAGCACTTTTAGGAGTCCGTGTATGGAGAAGAGCAGCCGCAGACAGACAAGGGTGGAGGCAAAAAATAAAGGAGGCCAAGGCTCATTTTGGGCTGTAGTGCCGTAGAAGAAGAAGATTAGACATTTCTGAAAAAAATCGTTAACGTGGTTTAATGATGAGATCAAATTTGAATGTTAATTAGAAATAATTTTGCAGTAAATGTCAAGTATATTATTGATATCAAAAGTCCTACATTTCAAAGAGCCTCTTTTGGATTAAATGAAATATGTTCTGTGGAAAGTATGAAAATAGCTGGATCAAAAACAAAAGACCAAAACCGAAACATTTCATGTTTTCTATTTTGCAAACATCAAGGGAAGACCTTTTGAAGATTTTAATTAAGTAGTAAAATTATTTGTGATTTTTGGGAACAAGAGATGAACAGTGAGGATTTGGATACGGGACAGGAACATATTTTATGGCTCGTTCTGGATTGAACGGGGAGTTGTTCATCTGTATGTTGTTAAAAATGGTCGCTAATTTTACAGCATATGTTGCTTCTGTAATAAAATATCTATAGCTTTTGGAAAAGTAGATATTTATCGATGATAGAAATGGGAAAAGAAATTATCAATGAGAATGAACTTCAATAGATTAAAAGAATCATCTTTGTATAACGCATGTGTCAACGTGTGTACTCTAAGACTAAGGGCATATACGAGGTTATGTTTGTATCTGATTGGGTGTGACGAGTGGTAATTTAAGAAACGGTTGCTAGCCATTTCTCTTCTGTACCAGATGATGACTAATATGTTATTCTGTGTGCGAATGGTTCGCATATCTATAAACGGCGTGATATTACCTCAAATTTTCACGTGAATTGGGGGAGTGGATCAATGCTGTTGAACACTGATAAGGTGCCCAAAGCCTTATCAGGTAGTGTTGCTAGAATCAGATCGTCAACATAACGTTTCAGAAAGGAAACTAGATATCTAACTTCTTGATACTCTCGTTAATAAGATCGCCTAGTACAAAACTGACTAAAATAAGAGAAATTCAAGATCCCATAGTGTTCCAAAATGTATTCCATCGTGTTCCAAAAAAATTTGACAATAAAATTTGTTGTTGAAAAAGTGCCGTAGGTCAGTTTTAATGCTTCGGAGAAAGTTTACCACAATAGTGGACTGTGATGTTGGATTTGGTTCCAATGGTTCCGAAGGGAGGTTACTACATTGGAAAGTGAAAGATTTGTAAACAATGATACCACGTGTAAAGCTTACTAAGACATGGCCTGTATGTGACTGATAATTAGGTTAAAGTTTTTAAATACATATATAAATTAATAGTAATAAGCTAAAGTACTAGTTCAAGTCTTCTTTATTATTCATTATTATTTTTAAAATAATTGTCAAATAATAACTTGATTATGATTTAAAATTTAACATCAGAATGTTTTGCAATCCAATCGTGATATTCCGTTACTCTTGTGAATATAGATGGTTTTCCTTCTTCGCAATCTGTAGAACCAAAGGAAACAATACCGATCTGTACACCATCGACAACTAGAGGGCCACCAGAGTCACCTTGGCACGTTCCTTGCTTATGAGATCCTACAAAAGTAATGCTATTTTTAGTTATGTTACAATAAAGCAAATTGCACACGTAGACAAAAAGCTTAGAAGATTGATTTAACAGCATTGTTTTGGTGAACAAAAAAATGTGTTAATACTTTTTCCTATTCTAACTTCAATTAGTAATGCATTGGTTAGTGATCAGTGTAGTAGTACCTGGGGGCTTGGGAGACTGAGACCTCGGAAGCCCTGAAGAAGACATCAAAGAAGATGTCGAAAGCTCGGCGCAATGATAATCGACGCGGTTCAATTCGGAAGACTATTGAGTTTAATATTAATTCCTGTAATAGTATTAATCTTAGCTCTAGGTTTAATTGTACTAACCGCGGAAATCTTTTTGTTATTTCCTGACCGTGAATATTTAAAAAGAAACTTTTTTATTTTCTAGGTTTGTCGGTCTGATGTAAATAAATTTATTTAACTTAACCTAACACAATTAAAAAACAAAAAATTTCCTGGGACTGAGGAGGTTATTGCATTGGTTTGTACACTATGTTTGTGTGCAACAATTCTTCTATGTAGGTATTGGTGTGTTTGTCCAATATAAAATTAATAAAGATCATCAATCAAACGTTATTTATAAAATAAATTGTAAAGACTGTAATTCAACATATATTGGACAAACACACCAATACCTACATAGAAGAATTGTTGCACACAAACATAGTGTACAAACCAATACATTAAACACAACAGCCCTAGCCAAACATTCTCTAGAAAATAGCCATTCTTTTTGATTTTGAAAATTTACAGATGTTGGAAAAAGAACAAAATTACAACAAAAAATGCATATTGGAGATGATTTACATAAAAAAAGATTCAAATTCCATCAATAATGAGACTGGCATCAAAGATCTTTCCAATATGTATCATAATTTAATAAGTTGAGTTGAGTTAAAGTACGGCCCTGAATCACTTATATTTACAGATACCTGCCAGATGTCAACTGTCAATGGCAGATACCAATTTTTTAATCCTTGTGAAACTTTTTAAAAAAGTGTAAACATGAAATTTAATTGTAAAATATAATGTTTATAAAATAAAATAAAGTGCTTATTGAAAATGACAAATTTGCGAAAACGTTTATGTCTACCACTATTTTATACACATTAAATTTTGCAATTACGTTCTATTTAAAATAAATATGAGTTTACCTGGATTGCTGCATAAAAGAGTGTCTAAGATAACAGCTTCATAGTCTTGATCGACTTTTTTACAGTCGTCATTACTCAATATAGAAGGACTTATATATCTGAGAACAGGTGTGACTACTGTTTGACTATTTTTGGTCAATCCCCAACCGGCTACGTTTCCTAAAATAATAAAAAGATAACACTGTTATTATAATTTATAAATATTTGAAATGAATGTAGACATGTAAATAAACATTACTAGATAAATTATTAAATCCAATAGAATTAATATGGACTTACCAACGGAGTTTACATATTTATTTGTGCCTGCAGCGATAGATACAGTTTTGATTACTGTCGATGTTTGAACAGGTGATGGTAATTTGATAAGTGCTATATCGTTTTCGTTAATGTTTTCTCCGTCCCATCCTTCGTGAACAATAAAACTTGTTGAAGATAATCGAACTTGGGATGATTCATCGGGATTAGTTATGTTATGAGCACCAAATACCATATTTACTTTAACAGCTCTGAAAAAACAATAATTTAAATGAAACAATTGAATAAAAAGGAATAGAAGTAGTCAAATTTGAAGCATATGTACATAATGTACCATAAGTCTTCTATAAAATCACATTTTGATGTCCTGATTGATATCATTGTTTGTTTTCTGGACTCAACATACATAAAATATAAATATAGCAAATGAAACCTAGAAATACAAGAAGACAATAACGGATCACAAGAAATAAAAACAGAATTCAGGCCGGCAACAGATGTCTTTTACCATCCAAAACCTTATAAAATCGAAACAACTAACAAGTTTTACGAAGATACAGGTCTATAAAACAATCATACGACCCGTTGTGATGTATGTAAGCGAAACGTGGACGATAACAAAGGCAAACGGAGAGAGATGTGTTTGGGAAAGAAAAATCCTAAGAAAGATCTTTGGTTCTGTGCTGGATGAAGCATCAGGACAATATAGGATAAGAACTAACAAAGTGCTCGATTAACTCTACCCAGACGCCAACATCAATAAAGAAATAAAGTCCAGAGAACTCCAGTGAGCAGGACACCTCAGAAGACATTCTGACGAACGAACAGTAAGACTGGTGTGGGAGGAAGTCCCAACTGGAAGGAGACCACGCGGATGCCCTCGTCTCCGGTGGCGAGATAATATAGCAGGAGACCTAAGCACTATGGGCGTGGAGAATTGGATGAAAGTTGCTTGAGACAGAAAACAGTGGAGGCATGTTGTCGAGTCGGCTAAAACCCACGAAGGGTTGTAACGCGACGGAGTAGTAAGTAAATTAAATGTGCATAGGAATGCTGCTGTTGCCACTCGAGAAGTGCATTTAAATCTGTCTTTTGGGATTTCCTGTAGCCAGTGTTGGGAAAAGTTCCCAACACCTTGAATTTATAATTTATATAAGAAATTAAAATTTTGAACCTCTAGCGCCATTTTCGTGCGTTCCCAATGTCACATTTTTTATGACATAAGTTCCAATCTGTTACACTTAGAAAGCCTTCTCGTCATGAGAGGGCGTTGAATGCCTTTAGGTCGCACATGTTAATAAATAAAATAATATAATATGTAATATCAAATAAAAAACACATAAATGCAGGAAATCACTCTCAGATAATTGTAAACTTATATATTCACTCTAAAATAAATTTATTGTGAAAGGGGACTTATCCACCTAGTGGCAGTTTTCAAAAACTGCAAGACGACAATCAGCAAGGAGAGAAGTTGGCGGTGTCATAGAAAAAATATATACGGCGTTGTGTCTTCGCCATTAGTCATTTTTGTTTAAGTTTTTGACAATTATATTATAAAACGATCTTAAGAACGTGAACTTGATGGAGTCATAGGTGCAACGAAAGGAAAGCATCTTTTATAAAAGTGTTCCTGCTACCAGTTACCGTCAGAAGCATCTTCTGAGGGGTCTCAAGTACTGTGCAGATTTATTGTAAGTTAATGTTCCCTATTATTGAAGTCCTCCATGGCCAGAGACACAATTTAAAACGGAAATTTGTGTACACACACTCTATTCGCGAATGAAACCATATCTCGTGTGCTTAATATAAGTTAATGTTAAAATTTAGAAGGCCGAATAAGTATGTGCACATTTCTCTGATAAATATGAATTCATATTCATTTGTATTGTAACCCTTTTTTTGTTTGTAAGATGTTTAATGATTTAAAGACAAAAGGAAGGTAGTATATAAAAATTACGAGAGAGTAAAACTTTAACATACATTCTTGTTATTTGTTAGTTTTCAATACACTTATAGTACTGTTTATTTATTTTATTTCACTGATACCTAATAAAGTCAATTTTGGAGATTCTGAACCAGCCCCTAACTGGAAATACAATATTAACTCTAGGAGTTTTTATATAGTCGGAGACACGTTTGTCGGTCCTCCACGCTCGAGTGGTTGCAAGGCAGACCAAAGTAGTTTGCTGAGCGACCAGCCAGTCTGCCCAATACTTCAAATCCTTGTGGTACCTAGTCTGTAAGATAAAGGATCATGCACGTTTTATCACTTCTTGTTAGGTTTTTCGTTGATCTGTCGCTCCACTGAAAAGATTTAAGCAGGTTATAATTTCATTTATCCATCACAACAATGCGACCTCAATAGTTACCCGTAGTAACTTCAATTGAATTGTTTTTTACATGCCTACCTATTTCTTCCATTCTTATTAACGAAATACATATTTAGGAACTCTATCACAACCCTTTAGTCGCACAACATAAGAATTTTACTGTTTTTAGTATAATTAGTATTTTAAATGTCAAAAAAAGTAAAATGATGTAAACAAAAACATTAAAGAAATGAGAACAACTGAAAATGTTAAGAAAATATGTGAACATATGACCAAGATACTGGAAGAACATAGTATAACTAATATATTCAATAGATGACTAAAGAAATACTAGACCTTATGAAATAAAAAAGGCAGTACAAGGACAAGGTAGATGAATACAGAAGAAAACAAAAAAGTGAATCCAAAAATACTAGCAGATAAAGAAAAGTGGGTGGCAAATAGATGTTCAGAAATGGGAGAATTAGAAAAGAAGCATGACATGTTCATTCAATTTGCAGCACAAGAAATTTGATGAGGTTGCTGGTCTGTATAATCAGAAAAACACTAATACTCTAGTAGAATATTTGACACATGGAGTAACTATATAACTGAATTGTTTAAAGATGACATGCCAAACATACAGAGCAATCTAAATCAAGAAGGACCTGAAATTTTTAAATCTGAATTTCTTCATGCAATAAAATCAGTTAACACCAATTGCAGGATGCATGGGGACCACATCAGTACTCTATTTAAGCTTTTTAATAATGTACACTACTGGTGAAATAACTGAGAAATATTTGAAGTCTGTATTTATAGAGATTCGACTACGATTCGATAACGACTATGTAAGAGAAGCTGTACAATAATCGCTAGAATACGCTGAGAATGATGATGATGATATCCGTGTTTAATGTTATCTATTATATCAAACGAATATAACTATAAAATATACAAAATAATTTAAAAAATTCAACATCTGTCTACAATTGTATTAAGTACTAAAATACTTAAACAATATGTGTTTACAGAGATATCAAAAATTGCATGATAAAATAAAAAATGTCGATATCATGAACATCGATTTACATTTTAATTACACATTAATTTAACAAGGAACATGTTGTTTTTATTTGATAAAACAGTAAGATAATCGTTTCGTTGAAAAATAATTACAAGTTTTGAAGTATATAGACAAAGATCAATATCGAATATTAGATACAAATGGCTCGATGATCATTCGTCTTAAAAAGCGGAAAAATATTTTTCCGCTTTTTTTTAAGACTCTTTTTGTGTTAACATTTTTACCTACATTTATTTTGTGTTACTACCTTTATTTTGTGTTAACTAAAATTCCTTCTAATCGTTCTCTCTTCTGTAACTTGCAAGCACTTGTCGCTATTCTTTCTCTTCGTTGCTATTCTTCCCCTTCGACTGCCTAATATTCCGTGTATATTTGTATTACGGTAAGAGTAGATAATCTGGTAATTGTATATAATTACTAGAGTCGATATTAAATGTAGGAAATATTCTTTAAAAACCATTTATTTCCTACTTTTACCTGTAATTGTATACATTTCCAAGAGGATCTTTCTTGGTACAAGTAAGAAATTCAAATTATAAAGATCGATACGCCAGCGCAATGTCTTTGTTTACCTCGTGCGTAATCAGTCTCAGTCTGCAGTGTTGATTGAGACATTAAAAGTGTTTCTGTCCTGATTTGGCATGTACTTTGTATTTTTTAATCAACTATAATGTTACCTTCTTCTTCAAGTTCCACTCCTATCGGAGATTGGAAATCATTCTGGCAATTATAATTTTATTGGTTATTCGCCTAAATAGTTCAATTGAACTGCATCCAAACCATTCACGGAGATTGCGTAGCCACGAGATTTAACGTCTTCCTAAGCTTCTTCTACCTTTGATTTTACCCTGCATTATATTCCTTAGTAGTTCGTACTTTTCACCTCTCATGATGTGCCCCAAGTATTCCAATTTCCTGATTTTTATGGAATTTTAAAATTTTGCATTGTTTTCCTAGTTGTTCGAGAACTTGTTCGTTTGTTTTGCGATCCATCCATCATATTTTCAAAATACGTCGGTAACACCACATTTCGAATGCTTCTAGGTTTTTAATGTTGGATTTTTTAAGTGTCCAAGCTTCAACTCCATACAAAAGGCTAGAGAAAATATAACATCGAAGCATTCTTATGCGGAGCGATATATTGATACCGCGATTACAAAAAGTTTTCTCATTCTATTAAAAGTTGATTGCGCAATTTCAATGCGGCATCTTATTCTTTGTCTGATCAGTATCTTCTGTGATCCATGCTCCAAGGTATTTGTACGAACATATTTATTCAATTTCTGTATTATCTAGTACTAGCTTAACTTTGATGTTTTGTGCTTTTGTAAATACCATAAACTTGGTTTTCTTCAAATTGATTTTTAATCCATAATCATTGCAATATATATTTAGTTGTTCAGCAAGGTGTTGCAGTTCTTCTAGTGTTCCTGCCAGAAGGACGGTGTCGTCAGCATATCTATGTTATTAAGTGGCTCACCGTTTATTATAAGGCCCTCACTGATCTCGGCAAGCGCTAATTCTGAGATGACTTCACTGTATAAATTGGATAACAAGGGTGATAAAATACACCCTTGGCGGAACCCACGGCGAATCTGGATATCCTTGGTCAGTTCGTTTTCAACTTTCCCTTTTGCTGTTTGATTCCAATAGAGGTTACAGATGATTCTAATGTCTCTACTGTCTATGTTTTTATTTAATAAAATTTCTTTAAGTCGATTATGCTGCACTCTGTCAAATGCCTTCTCAAAATCAATGAAACAGGCATATACTCCTGATTAATATTCTAAGCATCTCTGCGAAAGGACACTTACTGCAAACAGTGCATCTCGTGTTCCCAGTCCTTTCCTAAATCCCATTTGTGTATTACTTATGCCTTCATCTAATTTCTTATGTATTCTATTGTGAATTACTTTTAAAAACAATTTCAAGACATGACTCATTAAGGCTATGGTGCGATGTTCATTGCACTCCTTTGCATTGGCTTTTTTACTATGTAAACTGTGTTACATTTTTATAATGTTACCTACCTATATTTAATGTATTTTCTTTAACGACATAACGTTTTGTTTTAACCTATCTACAAACAGAATTCTGAAATGATGAATAGTAAAAAGTGCAGTACGGTTTTGCTTACAAAAGGGAAGTTCCAAAGTTTAATAAACAATGTACATGTGAGTAAATATCAAGCTAGTCGTAAAATACCCGATGACTACAAGCGGTTGAAAAAGTATGATGTCATTCATCTTCTTGTAGTTTCTTCTCCTATCGGAGGTTGGCTATCATCACAGCTATCCGTACCTTATTGGCGGCTGCTCTGAAAAGATCTACTGAGCTGCAACTATTTACCCTCTTAGGTTTCTTAGTCAGGAAATTCTTCGTCTTCCTATGGACGTTTTACCCTTGATTTTACCTTGCATTATGAGCCTTAATATCCCATATTTACGCATTTCTTGTTTTGATGTGCTTTATGACCTCTTAGTCATTTTGTAGCCTTCTTAATACTTCTGCATTTGTAACGCTTTGGCTCCACGGTATTTTCAAAATCCTTCTGCACCACATCTCAAATGATTCCAACTTCTTTACATTATGTCATATATGATGTCATCAAGATTGGTGAAACTGAAAAACTGATTTGCACCTTAATAAAGATGAACAGAATGTTTTATTTTATGTTCATTTGGAAGAACCCTTTAAATAGACTGAGGAGCACATAAATCTATTTCTATTGGGCATGGAGGTAGAACAAGAATGTTGCAAGAATTACAACCGAAGTACAAGACTATAACTGTAAAAATTAAAAAGATCTGTTTAGATCTGTATGAAACTTGCCAGAAAAAAATCTAAAGTTCCCCCAAAAAAGGTTTAGTAGTGAAACTTATACTGTTAAAATAAATTAATAGAAGATGTCAAATAGATTTGATAGATATCCAAGCCCAAGCAGATAATGAATTCAAATTCATTTTTGTCTACCAAGATCACTTATTGTACAATTATGGCCGTTGAATACTAAAAATGAAGAAAGAGTTGCATTTTCTTCTTGACATGTACCTTTGGAGCTCCTAGCATTCTTCAAAGCGAAAATAGACTAGAATTCTCCAACAAAATTATAGAAAAACTGTGATCCATGTAGAAAAATTTAAAGATAGTACACGGTAAGCCAAGACACAGTTAATCACAAGGATCTGTTGAATGTGCGAGTCAAAACATCGAAAATATGCTGAGTTCCTGGTTGAAAAGCATTCAAACAAATAAGTAGACAGAGGGTCTTCGATTTGTACATTTTGCCAAGAACCGAACTTACCATTTTGGCATCAATTATATAGCAGTAATTAATTCACCATCTGCAAAGAATCATTCATTTCCCTAGACATGGTTCCAAAACTAAACATATCATTGCGCGAGTATGTTAGAAAAACGTCTTTGTCGGATGGACAAGGCTATAAGAGATGAGCTTGCAAAAGTAAATGTAAAACACATACTTAAGTGTAAATGTAAAAAATTGAAAGTTGTGTAATTCCAAGTGAAGTAGTGGTATTAATAAGGAAGTGAAGTAGTAGTATTAATTGAGTAAAAAACTCAATTCAGATTAAACAAAATGTCTCTTATTGAAGAATGGTCTTTCAAAACAGTCTTCCTCTTTTCAACTAATAAGACACATTACACAGTATTCAGCAAACGCAAGAACACCATTCCTATTTCGTTAATATTTAACGGTCAAAATATATCTATTCAGAGGAATCGAATTTTTTGGGTCTACCTTTTGAGTACAAATTAAAACTGGCAAACCCACATTACGAAGTTACAACTAACTTGTCAAAATAGAATAAACTTGCTGAAAAATTATATCCAGTATATATATGAAGAGCTGATTCTAGTATTCTGCTTAATTCTCTACAAATCATTTATTCGCAGTAAACTGCGACTACGGTTGCAGTGTGCTACAATACAGCAAATAAAACGTTCCTAAAAAACCCTTAACACAATTCAAACAACAGCTCTAAGATTAGCCGTCGGTGCTTTAAGAACTAGTCCTGTAAGCAGCTTACAAGTAATAGCAAGAGAACCCCCTCTACATCTAAGACGACATCTACTTAGTTTTAATTATGCAGCAAGAATATCTTCCAATAAAAGCACTCATTATATTCTGAGATTATTATTAACGCATCTACATCCAATTTGTATAGAAACAAACAATATAAAGATCCTTTAGGGAAAGAATCAATCAAAAAGGATTCAATTGCAATGAATTCAAATTATCCATAACCACAAAATTAGACTTCCCTCCATGGCTTACCCCCTTACCTATCACCGATTTAAACTTTAACACAGTACCCAAAAAATACCACAAATCCTTAACCTTATCATTAATGCATTCAAAGAAATTATGGAGAAGTATCCAAATCACCACATAATATACACAGATGCTTCAAAACTGAAAATGGCCATGCCGCAGCCTTCACAAATTAGAATTACAAATATTGCATTAGAATTCCACAGCACTGCAGCATTTACACCGGGGAAACCACAGCGATATTAGAAACTATCAAAAACTCCTCTTCAACGACTGAAAATGCTAGTCCTATTGCACACAATATAAGAAATGAACTTAATGCACTACACCATATAAATAAAAAGGTTATATTTTTCTGGGTACCTTCACACATTGGCATTAAAGGCAACGAGTAAGTTGATCAATTGGCATTAAAATCCATCAGAAATGAAAATGTTCCAGAAATTACTAAATATCCCCACACCGACATAAACGACAGTCCATGAATCATATAACAAATTTATGGCAAGCAACCTGGGACGCAACAGACTCGAAGTTTGAAAACAATAAAGCCTAGAGTAGACGCCAGCCTACCATAACAAGGAAAAAGAAGAGATCAAGTAATCGTAAATCGCCTTCGAATCGGCTACACAATACTAACACATCAACACCTAAATAAAGAACCAGCTCCGATTTGTACCTACTGCTCTACTCAACTCACCGTGAAGCATCTGATAATCGACTGTCCGCAGTTTCCAACCTCAGAGAACATGCCGAGGAATTAGTGGAAACCTGAGAGAATGAGCTTACGACAAATATCTCGGATTTATTGCAGTTTCTAAAAGACATAAACATTTATAATAAACTTTAATTTATCAAACTGTATTACTGTGTATGTCCCCCCACTATTAACCCTTGGTGGTTGATGTGGATTCTCTATGTTTAAATAAAAAAAAATGTCTCTTGTTTTTAACTCAGTTCAATAAAAATCACACTTCTTGAATAGCTGTTGTAATTTATTATTTTTATTTTATCATTTTATTCTTTTGTCGATCGTCTTTGGTAATTGTATAAAATTGCCGGTAAAAGCAGATAATTGAAAATAATTCCTACATTTACCGTCGACACTGGTAAGCGGCACTAATCTGCCGTATTAGAACTTTAAGATAGTATTGGTAATTCAGAATATCTATCTTTAGAAGGCGGATTAAATTGCAATCATTCAATAGATAAGGTTAATCTTAAAGGTCTTAATCTTGTATGCAATTACCAATTATTTACTCTTACCGTTAACATATACATCATAATTGATTTTATTGGTAGTGTTCTCTCATGCAATTCACTAAATTTTAAACCTTTTTTTATTTCTGACTGCTTAATTTTTCTAATTATTTATAAAATACATCAAAGCTACTTACTTGTCAACGCAGTGGGCTGCAGTAAGAACATAATTCTTGGATATAAGCGAACCTCCACAGAAATCGGATCTAGAAGAAGTATACACGTACATTCCTACTTGGTAGGGAAATTGATGTGGTTTAGCTGGATTTCCGTTAATGATCTTAAGGGCTTGATTAGTATCTCCAAATTTTATAAAATTCATTCTGAAAAAAAAGTAAATATGTTTATCGTCCCTCCACTAAAAGCATCAAACTTCTAGATGATAAAAAAAAACTAATATCTATATATAAATTACAGAAATATATCTACTAAATATTGTAAATAATCTTTATAAATTACAATATTCTCTCTCTCTTCAATCTTGACCCCCAGGGGAGTGTAGTGGTCGACGTGATGTCGTGTATTGTCCGTCTCCAGAGATCTCTGTCTCTGGTCATTTCTTTTAATTCATGCATAGGTCTTTGGCATTATTCCTGTAATTTGATCTATCCATCTTGTTGGGGATCTTCCTCGTGATCTTCGGCCTTCTACCTTTTCTTCTATTATGAGTCTTTCCATGTTTTCTGTGTTTGCTCTCATAACATGCCCAAAATATTTTAATTGTTGGAGATGGGACTTTACTAGAGAGTCGTTGGCTAACTTTTAGCTCTTAAAAATTGAATTATTTGTTCTACGGTCGTTCCAAGGAATTCGTAACATTCGTCTCCAACAGAACATTTCAGTGGCGTCTATCTTTCTTCTCTCCGATTATCTCAGAGTCCAAGATTCACATCCGTAGGTCAGTATTGGGATATATTAAGCAGTTGATCAACCTCATCTTTATCGCTCTTGAAATTTGACAGTCCTTCTATATTTTGGTCATGTTTTTATTGTGGCAACTTTTGCTAGATCACATCTACGTTTAATCTCTTCTTGTAATGACCTGTGTTTGTGATTAATGATCCCAGATATAAGTATGAGCTTACAACCTCGAACCGGTCAATTGTGGTTATGTGTGGATGATTGTTGTGTAGTCTATCCACTATCATGATCTTTGTCTTTGATATGTTTAGTTGCAGACCAAATATTTGACTTTCGTTTTCGATCAGTCGTATAAGTTCCATCAGCTCTGCTTGACTATTTGCAAGAAGGGCTGTGTCATCTGCGAAACGTAGGTTGTTTAGTTTATGACCATTTATTGAGATGCCCTTTTCCATCCTTCAAGTGCTCTTCGCATAATATACTCCCCATATATGTTGAATAATTGTGGGAGATAGTATACCATCCTTGTCCGACACCCGTTCTGGATGAAACTCGTTCGAAAGTGTGTCAAGTACTTTAACTGATCCAGTTAGTGTGTTCATATAGGTCAGTTATAAGCGTAATTAGATGTTGCGGTACGCCTACTTTTTTCAGAAGTCGCCATAAGTGTCTCTACTTGACCCTGTCGAACGCTTTACGGTAATCTATAAAACAGATGTATAGTGGGATGTTGAATTCCCTAGATTTCTCGATTATCTGTCTTATATTCAGCAGGTGTTCTCGAGTGCCTCTACCTTTGGTAAATCCAGTTTGCTCTTGTGGAATTTCTCTTTGAAGGAATGTTTTCAGTCTCTCATTGATTATATGTAGCAGTATCTTGCTGGCATGGGATATTAAGAGAGATAGTTCTATAATTGTCGCATTTTATGGAAGCTGCCTTTTTTATGTTATGGTCGTTATTGTGGATTATGTCCAGTCTTCAGACCATTGTTTGGAATGCCATATTTGGTTACAGAGTAGATGAAGTAACTTTACGCCGGTTTCTTCTGTGGCTTTAAGCATTTCTGCTGTTATCATATCTGAACATATCTTATCATATCTGTAATATATAAATTACAATATTACCAGACAAGAAAATGAGGCAAAGCAAAGGGAAAGCAACTAGTTTGAGCCAATTCAAGAAAGCCACAATCCATGTGGCAAAAATCCATATACCTAAACAAGATATTAAAATTAATTGTCCATCATCGATTATTATATACAATAACAGTGTGGGAGGCGTTGATTTACTACATCCGATTATTGCCTTGTATAGAAAAACGATCAAGTCCAAGAAGTGGACCACAAATTCTTTATTTATCTTTATTGGCATGGCTTTTATATAAAGTAACGGTACAGTTGTTGACCGGTCACTAGTGATTGTTACCAAAGGTTACCTTTCGTGCTCACTTCTTCAGATTTTCAAAATGTAAAGAGACGTAAAATTGAAGAAAACGCAGAAAAAGAAAAAATAAAATTAGAATGAAAACAAAAGCGAATTGACGCAAAGGCAAACAATAAATGTCAAAAAAACAAAGACAACCAAGATGAAGTAATAAAAAAAATTGCCACAAAAAATGTCAAACTGTTAGAGTACATATACCAGAAGTGATTAACCTCAAAGGAAAATAAGAATTGTCAAGGAACCAATATCCTGATTCTGTAGAGGAAAACGTTAATCTGCCCACAACTGATAATATGTTTTTTGACACCAATATGAATTCACCAAATTTAAAAATCAGCAAAGAAAAACGTGATGGTGAATCGACTAAAAGAAAGTTATTTTTGAAACTGACGGATATCCAGGACATGAAAAAATATAAATTCTCTCAGACATGACGGGTGAAGGAGTAAGACAATACCAACCCACTGTAAAAAAACACTTTATATACAGGATTGTATTATTCTTGTTCCTATAATATATCCAAATCAAAAGTTGGAATAAAATGTCCATTTTATGTTAGAGGCTACCATATTGGTACTTGTGCAAAAAAAAACAAGAAATTGAAAATTTAAATAGTTTTGTGTGCCTTACCTGCACAAACACAAAAAGAAAATTAGGAATTTTATGAATGGCCAATGACTGTAATTCTATATGCCAATAACTATATTTGTATGGCCAATAACTGTGAAGTTCTGAAATTTTCAAATTTGTGTTAATTTTTGATATACATTATTATTTCTGATTAAAATAACCTAACTTTATAAAATTTGGTGTTTCTTGCTATTAAAAAACCCTTATAAAATATTTCACTTTAAATCATACAATTTACAATTTTAATTCAATTAGCAATTCCGTAAGAGGCCAATCACTATACCCGTTACCCCATAAGCGATTGTAATTCTTTAAAAATACAAAAAAAAGATAGTTGCCTCTACTAGAATTCAAAGTAGAAATTTCACAAAACTTTTTTTTCTGTAACAATAGTAAAATTGTTTTAAAATACGGCGTCTATCTAGTTTAAATGTGTTCACATACGATAGGAAACGAAAAGGAAATACCATGCAACAGCTCCCATTTCTTACGAAGAAGTTAGAAAAGATCCAATGGGTCACCGTACTTGTAAAGGAATTTCCAAAGTTCAATGACAAAAACGTAAAATATTTGAATTCTTAATATATTATAAATATGTAGTTTTATTGTATAATGATGCCACAAGTACACTTTTGATATATTCCAAAAATTAATCTAGAGGATTTTTTAAATTAATTACTAAAGCAATGTCAAAACAAGAACTGACTTTTAATGTCCATATTTAAAATTTATGCAATATAGGGTTAAAAAGTTCCAGATAAATTAGAGGCAAAAATCACCAAACCAAAATACTCAATATAGGGGAAGTGAAGTCAAGTGCAGTGAAACATTATTTACGGTATTCAAAAAATAAATAATTTTAAATAAAAATAGTTGCTACTCTAAAAAGTTTAGATAAAAAGTTTTTAAGGCGAAACACGTTTACTTACGTGACTACTAGGAAGCGCCAATGCTACCGCCAAAAGACCCAAAATTACAGTAAACTTCAACATCTTGTTATTATTTTCCCGTTGAATGGATTTAATGCCCTAAACTTATGCAACGGTATGCTTTCATTTATTGTCTTTTTATTAGTTTATCTTATCAACGGTACTTATATTTTATAATCAGGATGAGAAATAAGTATCTAGTGTTGTTCAATACATTTTTATAAAACATTTTATTTGTAATTATACTTGGATTAGAGTTATTAATTGGCAGATAAAATTTTATCCATTATGAAAGGTTCAAAATTTATTACTCAATGAAATACTTAATTTTTAAATGTTTTTTTCTGATATACGATGATTTATAGGATATCAGATAAATTATAGGATATTGGCTATTGAAAAGTGTCTATTTACATTTATTACATTTTAAATCCTGTTCCGACGCATAATCCTGTTTCCTATGAGCTGTATGGTTTTAAAGTCTATCAGTAGGGTGCTAACCTGGCTGTAGACCCCTTCCTCCTTTATCTGGACTTGGGACCGGTAACAGTTCTGTCGAGCTAGTTGATCCACCCAACAAAACTGCGGGCGGAGTTAAAACAACATTTATAATTAATAAAATTATAAAACACAATCAATTAATACATACAAATAATAATTAATAATAAACACAAATACATTAAATCAAAAGTTGGAAAATAAACAATTTAATAATAATGAAGAATATTACACTCACATAAAAAGGTGTCTCCAGGTGGCAGCAACAGAAGCCATTGGATGCCAAATCCAGAATCAAAGAAAACTTCCATATTGGTTTGACAAGAAATACAACAAGAAATATAGAAGAAAAGAGACCAATATCTAAAATTCTTAAATACAAAGAATATAAGATAAATAATCTACCAGGAGTCTCAAGCTAAAGTACGAAAAATGATATGTCGGAAGAAAAAGAAGCATGGCAACAAAAGTGTAACATGATAAATTCACATCTAGGAGGACGAAGAAGCACAGAAAGTTGGAGAGTCTTAAAATCTTTACAAGATAAGAAGAGAGACATAGTGTCAACAATAATAATGATAACTGGGACCAATATTTTGAGAAACTCCAAGGAACATAGACCACAATTTAAAGACAGCAACGAAACACAAAATATAAATATTTTAACTTCGTCCATACGAATAACAACGAAAGAAATGGAAGATGTATGTAGATCTCTAAAAAATAACAAAGCACCCGATCCACGTAACATCCCTGCAGAGTTAATTAAACACGGTACAACCAAACTATATACAAGTTTAGCCAAACTGTTCCAAAACTGCATTAATAGAAATGACAACCCCAGAGGAGTGGAAGACATCATTCATATCCACTATACAAAAAAAAGCAGAAGGGATGAGTGTGACAATTACAGAGCATTGTTGCGATAAACTCGGTCAGTAGAATATACGAAAAGTAATTAAAAACAGAATAGAAAGCGAATATAAAAGCTTAGAGGCTGAGGAACAGGCAGGATTTAGGGCAGGTAGATCTACTGTTGACCATTTGTTTTGCATTACACATTATTGTATGTAGACCTACGAAAGGCTTATGATTGCCTACCACCTTATAAATTATGGCATAATTTATAATGTGGTAGGCAATCATAAGCCTTTCGTAGGTCTACATACAATAATGTGTAATGCAAAACAAATGGTCAACAGTAGATCTACCTGTCCTAAATCCTGACTGTTCCTTAGCCTCTAAGCTTTTATATTTGCTTTCTATTCTATTTTTAATTACTTTTCCGTATATTCTACTGACCGAGTTTATCGCAGCAATGCCTCTGTAATTGTCACACTCATCCCTTCTGCCTTTTTTTTATGGTGGATATGAATGATGTCTTCCACTCCTCTGGGGTTGTCATTCTATTAATGCAGTTTTGGAACAGTTTGGCTAAACTTGTATATAGTTTGGTTGTACCGTGTTTAATTAACTCTGCAGGGATGTTACGTGGATCGGGTGCTTTGTTATTTTTTAGAGATCTACATACATCTTCCATTTCTTTCGTTGTTATTCGTATGGACGAAGTTAAAATATTTATATTTTGTGTTTCATTGCTGTCTTTAAATTGTGGTCTATGTTTCATTGGGAGTTTCTCAAAATATTGGTCCCAGTTATCCATTATTATTGTTGACACTATGTCTCTCTTCTTATCTTGTAAATATTTTAAGACTCTCCAATTTTCTGTGCTTCTAGAAAATGTCTTCTCCATATGACAATATCGCTTCTTTCTAATAAAATAGACTTTCTGAGATTCTTTTTCCAGCGGAAGCCTATTTCTTTTAAAAGTTTCCATAACGTACTTCGACTCATTTCTGGGTAATCCTTATCATCTCGATTTGAGACAAGAACTTTATCCAATGTTGGAAATTCTTGTCTAAAGAAGAATTCATGCACTTTCCGTCGAAGTCCTTCTTTAAAATGATATTCTATTTGAAATTTTGGTTTCCCTGGATACATAAAAATACACTATAGTACCAACAAAGAATTTAGCAACTTTATTACAACACAAGACAGGCAACGCTTAGGAGGTAAATATATAACATAAGGATACACAGAGGGAACAAAGCTAGATTTATAGATTAACATTACACATTCCATCCTAAATCTTTCTTTTAGTCCTTTTTAAATATCCCCACAAAATTTGGTTAAACCTTTTATGACGAGGGATATATAAAATAGAAGATTGACTTTGAGGAGGAGGTATTTGTTCTTTTATCAGATTTTCCAATACATGCTTAATAGTAGCATCATTATATCTGCATCCGAACATCCAATGATTAATATCGTTAGTGTTATCATTACAATCGCAGAGTTCTGTTTCACTTAAATTAAATCTATGAAGATAGGCTTTCACAGTAGCATGATTAACAAGGCTTCTAACAAACGTTGTATATATACTCTTCTATTAGGATGACTTCCTGCAGCAAAAAGCGCAGTAGGTAAAACAGGGTGAATTTTTGTACATAGGTTATTACTTCTGTTAAAGAAAGCATTCCATTAAATTTACCAGTTTTCTTTTAATTTTTGTTTACGCAGCTAGACTAAATCACTATTGAGCCAACTAATTTCTAGTCCTTTTCTTGACGCAATCCTAATGACTAGTAAATCCCGCGACGAGGTGACTAGCAATACGATAAAACATTTCTTTAAACAAGCAGGATGGCTGGAAGATCAAAGATTTAGTGAGAATGAAGATCCTGAACAGCTAACTTGCTTTTAGCTGTTTGGGCCAGACACTTTGAACTTCCTATCACCTACGGACCGGAAGCATTAACAGATTTTGAAGAAGTTAATGAAAATATAGCTACAAAATAAAATAGCTTAAATTGAATTTTCTATAAGATACGGCTGATTAAGAATGTTTTAATTTATTACCCTTGCTGCAAAATAGCAAGAAATACAAAAAAAGAGGGGGAAACATCTTATAATAAGACAATTCTTTAGAGATGTTCTATATTTAAAATAAGAAAGTTTTAGTAAATTTACAAGATACGGACTCGGGAAAGGAATGAACGTAGCGATAGCCTTGTCGATTTCTGTGTCAATGAGGAACTCATAATTACAAATACCTTGTTCAAACTTCCTAAACGTAGACTATATACATGGAGGTCACCAGCTGACAATAATAACAAAATAGTCAGAAATCAAATAGATTATATTATCGTCAACAGAAGATATAGAAATTCTATATCATCTAAAACTTATCCAGGAGCGGACATATCCTCCGATCACAACCCGGTTGTTTTGTCGATGAGAGTGAAACTAAAGAAGGTCAACAGCTCTAACACCAAGTAAATCATGGATACAAGACAACACATATGCGGAAACAAAATTTAAAATAAAGGAGAACTTAAGGAAAGTCAAAGAAGATAATACGGAAACTCTAACTATTGACCAAAAATGGGGAAAAATTTAACATGCCCTTATGTCAGTTGGAAAAGAAACCCTCAAACCACTTGGAGAAAAAAAACAAAACCTTGGATGACAATAGAACTTCTTGAACTTATGGAAGAACGAAGAAAACATAAATCAAAAGACCTGAATAAATACAAAGAAATTCAGAGAAACATCAGAAAGAAAACAGAGAGGCAAAAGAGAGATGGCTCTCCGACAGATACAAGGAAATAGAAGATCTGGATAAAAAGTATGAAAGCTTTATTTTACACAAAAAAAAATCAAAGAAATGATAGGTTCTAGAAAACGTACAAGAACGAATATCCTTAAAAATGATAAAAGGGATATTATTACTAATTTGAAGGATAGATTATGTCAATGGACCAATTACATCCAACAACTATTTAATGATGAAAGAGAACAACTGTCATTAGAAATATCCGATGATACCGGACCACCAATATTCAGAGAAGAAATCATCTATGCCATCAAAAACACAAAAGAGGGTAAAGCTACTGGACCAGATGATGTGCCCATCGAATTATTAAAACTCATCGATGAAGATGTTATTGATGTAATGGTTGAACTCTTCAATCTAATATATCAGACTGCCACAATCCCCAGACAATGGCTGCAATCGACCTTTGTAGCAATTCCCAAAAAAATAAGTGAAACAACTTGCTCAGATCACAGAACAATAGCTTTAATGAGTCACACACTTAAAACATTTCTGAAAATAATTCACATCAGAATTGTTAAAACTCTTTAATATGAAATTAGTGACACACAATTTGGCTTTAGAAATGGTATGATTAAAAGAGATGTTTTGTTCGGCTTGAATGTGCCGGCTCAGAGATGCATGGACATGAATCAGGACATGTACTTATGTTTTGTAGACTTTGAAAAGGGATTTGATAAGGTTCAACATAAAAAGCTTGTAGATATATTAAAAAGCAAAAATATTGACAGTCGTGATATGAAAACTATATCTAATTTATATTTGAATCAAACTGGCAAGGTAAGAGTTGACAGCCAGTATACTCAAAATATCAAAATACAGAGAGGAGTCCGCCAGGATTGCGTGTTGTCAGACTCAATAGAAGGTATATCTATCAATGGAGAAGTTTTGAATAACTTACGTTTTACAGACGATACAGCAATAATAACGGATAA